CACCACCGTAACCAGGCGTAACTTAATGAAAAACATGTCGATTTATTCCTTATAATCAACAGATTACTATAGTAATATTAGTTTAACCGTAACTAACGGGAATAAAAACGATTGTCTTCTTTTCATCTTCGATATTTTCACTAAAGTAATTAATTATCATCAATACATGCCATCAAAGATGCCTGCTAAACATAAAAATAGTTAACTTCAATGTGTAGTAAGTATGAGTACATAAATAAAGGAATTATTATCATAAGGCATTTTATGTATGTATGTATATATTACATATGTATTTGTATGGCAATACTACATTACATAGTTATGGCCGTGGCGTCTGCTTTGACCGTCGGTAGAAAAATATCTATAGCCAGTCAAGACGTTCAGTTCGGGGAACTGCTCACGCTCTGATTGGCAGACAGAGTTTGTGTTTAATAAATGCGGACTTTTTTATCGATCCGTATGCGTCATTGTGGTGAGGTAGCAGCACCGCCATGCAGAGATATCGTGTGATAAACCTTCTCCATCACCTTTTTTAAATAAAACTGAAGTGGCAAACAAACTTACAGTCCACCTCATCCTCATAATAAGCCTACCATGGAAACTAACAATGGCTACAAATTCGATGACACCTTTAAGGACTAAGATGACTGGCTCACCAGCTCGTAACTATACCAGCTGTCTATTCCCTTTCAACCGGATAACAGCGATGCAATCACTGCTATTTATGACGGCAGCAATAGGTAAGTGGGTGCTAATGAAGGATCCTAACAACCTTATATCCTCCTATGTGAGAGCAGACTGTTGGAATATATGGAAGATTGTATGGCATCTGGTACATAGCAACACCTAATATGATAAATGTGTACCCAAACCAGCAAATTGGATCAGCGGCAAAGGTGTTTTTTTTTGACGGCGCCGTGGCGCAGTGGCTTAGCAATGAGTTGCTGCGCTGGGGGCCGTGGGTTCGAATCCCGCACGGAACAAGTATTTGTATGGCCTACAAATATTCCGGGTCTGGATGTTTGTCCTCGTGTAATTTGTGTTTGTTAACTGTATCCACGACACAGGAGAAAATCCTAGTGTGAGGGTAACGTTTTTTTAAAGAAGAAAAAGGTATATTATGACGCTTGGTACAGTGATCGCCAGCCTACCTGCTAAAAGTGGAGATAAAGTCAAGTTCATATCCAGCCGTGGACTGTTTAAGAGTCTATAAAAGTCAAAATCTAGTGTCCAGCTGCAAGTTCGGCTCTATCATTTAAATTTCCAACCGATTACAATGTCGGTGTTATCAAGGCAAGAGTGAATGATGATGATGAAAAATGAATAGGGTTGGTGCGATTTATAAACTTTGGCTACATCACCACAATATAAAGTGGGAAAGTAGTCAAACTCTGGGTTATAATAAAAATATTTTCAGTTTACAATACAGTATTATTTATTAATTTATTTGAGATTATTCCTCTAAAACCTACCGCTGCTTCTGGTGCTTTAGGATTTATAAGACCAATGTTTAGGGTAAAATATATTTAATGAGAAATTCTTTAATAGAAGAAAGAGTGACAAATAAGCACACGTCCACCTCATGGTAAGTAAATGCTGTGGCCCAGAGACACCTATTTTCAATTAAGAATAAAAATGCCCTCGCTACCAGTAGAAGTGTGCTAACTACTAGCAGGTATTAAGTTTTGAGCATTTCCAATACTTACATTAAATCTACAGCCTTTTTAAGTCGGTAGCTAGATATAGGTTCTTCCAAAAAAATGTTTGCAATAATATTAAAGTGTCGTACGAACTTTGTTTTATTGTTTGCCTTCGTGTATTGTTATCGACTATATTCCGATGTACTTTAGGCTTTAGGCTGCACAATATTATCATAATAAAAAATTATTACGAAGTTGCGTAGTGATTCCCATCGGCAAACGATTCCCGCCATAGTTACACAATCATATTGCAGCATATTGTGTACTAGCTGTGCCCCGCGGTTTCACCCGCGTATATCACGCGTCTGCGCCTTGCGACATGCGAACTTCGAGAGAGACATCACGATGGACGGTTGCTGAATTAACAAAGATTTAAAAAGTGAAATATGTTACTAAAATTACATGGTTAACGTAATTGGTGGTTACGCATGATACAGGTACTGATACGAATAATGTGGCCTATTTTGTACCGGCGTTACTATTTCACATTTTAACATGAAAAAGTAGTTATTGTGACATAACTGTAAATGTAATAGTTAAATATATGGTATCGCAGACTTTTTTGTAGATATTGATATCCTCTATAAAACTGAAGTATCACTTTGCTCTATTATCAATAGTTTCCGCAGCGTACGCGATATAAGGATTCTTTTTGGTATTTTTTCACACCTTGGGTTACATTAACGAAGTTTTCATACGGATCCCTAACTTTTTGAAAATATTATATAGCCTATGTTCATCAGGGATAATGTAGGATTCTAATGGTGAAAGAATTTTTCAAATCGTTCCAGTAGTTTCGGAGCCTATTCAATTCAAACAAACAAACAAACAAATCTTTCCTCTTTATAATAGTAGAGTGTAGATGTAGATGCGGGTAGGGTTGGTATTTCGAGAAAATTACCACTCCTCTACGCCTTTTAAATATTTAATTAACATAAGTATTTGAAAAGACCAACTGTGACATAATTTCATCCTGGATGTAATCGTTTAAACTAAAAACTTGTTACATTTTTTACAGTTGAGTTGACATTCTATGTCATTGACCGTTGATGCGCGGTCGGTTTGGAGAAAGAAGCGACATTGACGTCGCTCTAGTCTAGTGTATTCGTCGCAGATGAGGAATCACACCGAGATACACATCTTTTAGGAAATAAATTAAAGAAAAAATTGAGATTTTTATTTAAATATATGACAATAAAAAAAGATCAAAAATGTAATAATAAATATGTAACTTAATTTTTTTTTTATTTCAGACCTTTTAGATATTGTACTTAATAATACATTATATTTTTAGTGTTTCAGGGAGTAATTTTGGATATAATTTTATACCTATAAAAATTGACATAAATAAAGTGCACAAATAAATTTATAACAATTTGATATGTAACATTTTAATTGACATTATGTAATGATTTAAAAATTAATATTAATATTTGTCATTGAGCTATAATAAATCTTACTTTGGCATTTTCTCTGACACCGTTACATTAATTGATTATCAAATTAATTAAATAGTATTAAGTAATTCGTGCATTGATAAAAATGCGATAAATATTGCTGTTAATTTTAGTTCGAAGACATGTGCAGTTCGCAAACACGCATAGAGTCAGCGCGGCGGACATTTCCTAGCCCTAAAACCCTCTTAGAAATGAGAGGACTCAGCTGTGGGACGTATATAGGCTGTAACGTCTTATTTTAGTATTACTTAACCATTAATATTTGTACACCACTAAAGTAGAATATAATGTAGAACTAATTATACTTGAAAACCATTGTACAAGTATATTCTTGTCAATATTTATAGATTATTTATTTATTTATAAATAATGAAAATTGGTAAACGTGATTATCAAGTTTGTTATAAACGCATAGAAGATTGAGGTGTCGACTCACTCAAATAGTTCAATCACCAATCATAAGTATAAACGACAACAATAAATAATCTTTAAGCTTTGTTTTCAATTGTTGATAAAATGAAATCTTAAAGAGCTATTTCTGATTTTCCGATTGATTGTATTTTAAACAAATTGAACTGATTAACAATGGCACCGATTACTGATAATATTTTATGATGTTTAATTTCTGTTGATTATATTTTTCATACGGTTAACATTATCAAGACATAGTACAGCTCTTCACAAGTAGGCGTCCCCCAAAGTATGCCACAAAGTCAGCGTCTGCATTTATCGACTTCCTGCAACTCTTACCAGGCCGTCACTCCGTCTAATGAGAAACCTACTCTTTGCTTACCGGTTCGAGGCTTTTGGTAATAAAAAAATAAAAACTATTTCTGGAGAAATATTTTTTATTCCCCATCGGTTATCAGTGTTTTTTTTTTAATTTATGGCCAGTCCATGGCTAAGTCGGTTGCTAGATTCTACTACGTTTATCATAATTTGTAAAAATATGCCTACAACTTTTGGGCATGTTTTTATTGTCTTTACGTTATTGTAAAACAGAATAGAAATTCTACGTTTGTGTTTTTCTCCAATGCAGTTTTAACGCAAAATGTGGCGAACAACGTACCGCCGTTCTCTTGACATTAGATCAGTCCTTGAATTTAAGTAGACATAATACTAAAAGCAGCCTTTCGACGTCTTATTGAACGAACTTGCCTGACAATGATAACAATGTACTGTTACACGCAATTGTTTTAATGGAAAACGCATATACTTACACAAACATTTCGAATTATTAACCGATTTAAAAAATATATAAGAAGGCTCTCAATACCATTGTATCTTTTTTGTATGAATGTTACGCTATATATATATCTTAGTCAATTGTGAACCGATTTTAACGATTGTTTTTTTTATTAAATAGGTTATACTTTAGGGATGGCCTCATATAAATTTGGAAATAAATTCCACCCCTAAAAGTGGGAAAATAAGATGAAATTTTTAATGAAACTATATTTGTGATATTCTATTCTATTCATAGTCCATTCACTCAAAAGGATATTTTTTAATGGAAAGTGAACGCCGACTTAAAACAACCAAGAATAATCAAATAATTTCGTCGGTGCTAAGATATTGTACAGAGGAATTAAAACCCCGACATTTTTTTTAGTTTCAAATCACCTTTTACTTTTGTTAAAAGTTATTATTATATGTTATTCTACAAAATCTTCAGCTTAAAAAACTTATTAAAGTATGATAATAATGGGTTATTTTCCAAAAAAAAAAAAATAGTTAAATGTTCACACGCCAGTGTAAGCACACCTTAACACTCGCTTTTACCTTACTACTGCATTATCTAGATTCACTTATCTGAGGTACCCGCAGCGCGAATGTTGGAAGTAGTCGGTGTACGCAATCGGCGGTCGACGGTCGTGGATCCCCGGATAATTTGTACCTAATTGTTTAATCTGTGAGATTGTTGTGAATGAATACGGTGTTGTGTAGACCGCGTTAACGGTACTGCAGGCAGTGTGTACACGTTCGAGGTGAGTTTGTGCACAGAACAATACTTAAGTTTGTGTGTGTGCGTAAGCCCTTCTTGATTTGTTTTGTATTTCGATGTAGACCGCGTATGTATTACGGATACGGTACATATGTTGCCTGACGAATGCGTTCTCATTGTATACATTTCACGTGCTATTGTAAGAGGGGAACGGTAATTGCATTTTTTTTATTAATCATCCATTACGTTTTTGTGTTGCCCTAAGAGGTTTTTACTCGCCCACGTGTACTGAAAATTGGTAGATTAAATGGAAAAGCTAATATGTATAAAACATTTGAAATACATTACTGAGATGAAAATTTTAACAAGTTATGATCTATACAAACAAATAAAATTGAAGTGTCAGTTTGTAATGTCAAAATTACGGCTTTTTACTAAATGCATATGAAAGTGTATACGATACTTATAACAAAAATACAATTATTAAAATTTTTGTCTGTCTGTCGGTCTTACTGTCTGTCTGTCGGTCTTACTGTCTGTCTGTCTGTTTGTTCCGGCTAATCTCTGTAACGGCTGGACCGATTTTGACGGGACTTTCACTGGCCGATAGCTGATGTCATATGGAGTAACTTAGGCTACTATTATTTTAGAAAAATAATTAGTGTTCCGCGCAAAAAAATAAAAACACTAACACACAAGCGAAGTCGCGGGGAACAGCTAGTCATAAATATGCGCAAAATACGTCTATATACATATCTATATTTATGGAATATATATTTATTTATATAAGGGGATGTATTAAGTTTAATTTGATGGATCATCGAAGGTTGGTTCTATTTGTAAACGATTATCCGCAAATTTTACCATAATTAAGTTATATACATAATATTATCGAATTATCTTAAACGCGTATTAAATATTTATTGGAAGTTCAGCCTTCTCTATGCTATATAGTTGGAGTGTAACGGCGTCGTACTATGAGAATTCACTACCATACTCTATCCTTCCGTGGGTGTTGTAATAAGGTGCGACAGAGGGAAACTAAAAGAGTCTATGGGTAGCAGCATCTTCCTGTTAACAACTCATTAGTAATAATAAAAAACTAAAAGACTAAGGTTACCATTCAGCTAGTTAATCATGGCAGCTATGGTAACTGGCCCTCCCTATGAGGCAATCACGATGGCCTATGTAGCAGTGGACTTTTAATAGGCTGAAATGAAAGAAAGCTTATTGCGACTGTACTAAATTTACAGTCACATATTTGAAAGTAGGTATATGGGAATAGTGAACTTTACACAACTGTTGGCGTAGAAAAGAACCCTATCGGTAGACTACGTTTTACAGCAGATAATCTACCGAGCGGTCATTTTGATACTTATTTCCAATATAAAACACAAGCCTATAGTTTGCCCTATTCGTTTCTTGGTTTGTGGGTTCGTCCGTTGGTTCGTTTGTGGACATGTTTGTTAGTGCTTCCGCTAGTCTAGTGAATAGTGTCTTTCTAGGTCTTCATGACAATCAAAGGTACAAATAAATCATCATCCTTATCATATCTAAAGTACTAATTTTACGCGGACAAATTCTAACTTCACACTTTCACTTCACAATTCAACTTCACAGCTAGTTCTATTATATTTTTAACTAGCTGTTCCCCGCGAAATCGCCCGCGTGTAATTTAGGGTTTTAATTTTTTTTTTGCGAGGAACCCTAATTATTATATTAATAAGAGGAAAGACACTGACATCAGCTATGTGCCAGTGAAAGGCCCGTCAAAATCAGTCCAATACTTTCGGAGATTAGCCGTAACAAACAGACAGACGGACAGACAAACAGACCAAAATTTAAAAAAAGTGTATTTTTGTTATAAGTACCGTTTATTTAATTTATTTATTTTAAAAACTTTATTGCGTCCCTTGAGAAAAAAAATGATACAAACGGCAAACATAATGCCTAAAGGCATTCTCTACCAGTCAACCCGTGGAGTGGTGAGAGTTTGTCGTAGGTGCAGCAATAAAAGAAAAGAAGAAAAATAGAAACTAAAATTAATACCCATTATATGTAATAAAACAGATTATGATAAAGTATTATAAGTAAATGCATATATATATATATCATCTACATATATTAACACATACTCATAATATAAATATATTTATATGCTAATAAACAAATAAAAACATACATAAATACACATATATGGATATAAATATACATAAATACAAAGATAATACATACATATAAATACGACTAATTATACTTTCATATGCATTTAGTAAAACGCTGTAATTTTCACATTACAAACAGACACTTCAAGTTATTTATTTGTATGTAGTATGCATGTATAGATGGTAAAAAATTACATACAGAAAGAAGTATTTAACAAGTTAAGGAATCAATAATTTAACTGCGTCCTGGTCTGTTATAACCTGTGGTGTCATTTAAAGGCATCAATTAAATCATTTTTGATTTAAGAAGCCCTTTTCGATCAACACGAATGTGTACCATATATGGGCAAGAGGGGAGTGACCAATCTTGGCAAATATGGTATATTTGATGAAAAATATGTGGAAACGTCACCTCACATTTGCAGTTAGCCATGAAAGAAGTAAAGTAATAAGTGAGAAGTACATGTTTCAATTTTAAGTATACAGATACACACATATTAAGAGTGTAACAAGTACATTTACCGTGCTTAGTGGCATTCCTTGGGGGAGGCCTATGTTCAGCATTGGAATTGTAAAGGGCTGTAATGATGATGATGATGATGATGATAAAATACATTTAATTGTTTGAACTTTTGGCGGCAAATGAGGCATCATGCTTTTTATTATAATAATGTATACTATTTTAACGTAATATACGAAAATTGATTTAAGTCTCTTTCACAATACACCCTAATAATTTTACTAAAGTAAGATAAATTGTGAATTTGAACTATTAAAAATTTTTAAAATCAATTAAAAATGTTTGGTGCTTGATAACCAAACATATTTGACACTATTCTCTTGTAAGCTTCGGGCACAGGTGCGAGTAGCCCACCTGTCGGTATTCTGTAGGATATATTTTGGATAGTGTGGGTAGGAATTACATGCCTTAATTCCTCTCTTACCTTTACACCATCGGAAAACCAGGCGGTTGGCGGATCTTTATCCCTTTGTTGTCAATATTCTATGAATTCGTACCAAACGGTATGCTGGAAAAAATTCTCATCGTCTGTCTTTCCATCCGATTACAATCTGGGTGTATTCGAGACCAGCAAGTAAGTATATCATCCAAGGCTTTATCACCACTTACCAAATACCAATTTAATACCTACTACATTTTTGTTTACGTGTTAGAGCCATGCTGCAGCTATATTAGTAGTATAGCTGTTGAACGAATGGGTCGGCCCGACCGGGGAGGACCACGCTCTCACAGAATACCAGTGTACAATTGTAGCTTAATGCTGCTGGGTTTCGTATGATGAGTGTAGAGAACCGGAAACCCTTTTTACAGGAAAAGAGGCATTCCATCTTAGTCCTCACGGGTTACAACGTATCTGTATTTTGATTCTTTATTGAGGATAGATGTGGATGTCTATGGGTCACAGCAATCACTTACCATCAGGTGGACTGTGCGCTCGTTTGTCACCCCATCCTGTAAAAAACTCCCAGGTGGAATTGTAGTCAAGCACTGGCTCATAATAGGTAAGAAAAACAAAAAAAATCTAGCTTCAAAGCGAAAAAAATAATAACGCATTTTTTTATTTTCAGTTTTCTTCTTCTTTTCAGTTATTTAGAACTAACTTAGGATTAACTCAGATTGGTTAATATTTTAGTTCATAAATTAACAAAATTTTAATTATTAACAATCAATAAAACAATTCCATTAACTCATCTGTACGTCATCCTAGCTAGGTTAGCTGGTTTTGGATTTGCTTTTCATTTTAGTTTATAATTTTTAATTTATAACAATCTGTAACTTGTATCAATTAAAAATAAAGTCGTTATTTGGTGACATCAGATCTTAGCTATTAGTCAATAGCCTTGTGGCATTTACACATAGCTTAGTCGGTGTTAGAGCTCGCAGCTTAGTTGCTGGGAACTGAATTTAAATATTAAGTGACTGGATGATAGCAACGTGTAGTGGCGGTGTGAGAATATCCACCATCTCATAATATCTTCCCATAGGCAAACAAACCAGGAGATTGGCAGCAGCGTCTTCATAATAAAAAGCAGAAAATAAACGTAAAACTGTGGCTACCAACCGAAGTGTGGCAACTATGGCAAATATCCCCTTTATGAGAGCCTATGTTCAGCAGTGGACTTTAATAGGACGTCATGGATGGATGTATAATTAATTATACCTACATATTAATTAATCAATTTGTATTCGTAATTCATTATACTTAAGTACATTATATTTTTAGCTCCCTTGTAAAAGTATACCGACCTTCGCCCTTAGAACTTGAAAGGTTAGGTAAATATTTAGATCTATAACCTTATACCGAGTCACGCGATTACTTTGAAAACTATTTTTGAAGATACGAAAATGTATCAAAGAATTATATCAGTTGAAATATTCTAACCTTATATAATTTTACTACCGCTAAATATAAAAATACTATTAATAAAAATATATAACTACATAAAAAATGTTTTCTTAAAATGCATGGTTATTTTGCAATAAACGGCCAAATTTGCAGAGAAGGTTCTGAATATGTAATATAACAAGTGGCAAATATATGTGGCAGTAGACAAATGGTGAAGAAGAATTAATTAAAAAATAATCTCAAAACATTCTGTCCTTTTTTTCTTTTAAATTCAAAATGTGTGGTAATGTATTATTTTAACTATTTAATTTTACTGCGCACGCACACATTCGTAAACATTCATAAGGGTCGATCGGTAGGCAAAAACATTGTTGCCCTTAGATCATATTCAATTAGGGATAATTTCAAATAAAAGTAGACGCCTTATTTACTCTTATTTTCAAAAACTGCAATAACGGTATATCATTATTTATATATTTGAACTTAACTTTAGTTAAATTTGCCTACTCTTT